ACAACAAAGGGTGTGATGCAGTGAGTGATTTTGTTTATCAGCCAGTTTGTTGCAGAGCCTGACACTGAATCAAACTGAGAGGGAGTGAATGGCCAAAGGTCACCAATCAAGCTTCCATGAATAAGGAAGAACTAAAATTTGGGTCTCTGCTTCTAGTCCAGCACTTTAACAACTATACTGCAATGGTTTTCTTTTCTATCAGACAGATAACAACCTGTTAATATATCACAACTTGAACCAGGCTGCCTTCTTTTATATACAGTAATTGCTTTCCTTTTTGGATACAACCAAGATCGAGATATAAATATAGATCTTTATATATCTTTTCATTTACAGGTAGTCCTCGACTTATTATCACAACTGAGTCCAAAATTTCTGTTGCTAAGCAAGATAGTTGTTAAGTAAGTTTTGCCCCATTTTGTGACCTTTCTTGTCATAGTTGTTAAGTGAATCATTGCAGTTGTTAAATTAGTAACATCGTTAAGTGAATCTGGCTTCCCCCATTGACTTTGCTTGTCAGACAGTCACAAAAAGTGATCACATGACCCTGGGACAGTTTCACCATCATAAATATGAGTCAGTTGCCAAGCGTCTTGAATTTTGATCACGTGACCATGGGGATACTGCAACGGTCATGTGAAAAATGGTCATAAGTCACTTTTTTCAGTGCCATTGTAACTTCAAATGGTCAGTAACTGAAATCTTGTAAGTCGAGGACTACCTGTGCAGGATTTCATTAAAATAAATGCTCTTGTCTTTTATTTTTTAAAACCTCTCTAGAACATCTGAACTTTTACTTGTAGAGTGGTATTTACATGTTCCTTAATTCAAAAATTAACATAATGAAATATGACCCTTCCAAATATTGCCAGAACCTTAAAAAACTAGATCAAGAACCTATAGATTCAGTTCCCATTTCACAGCTCACTTGGCATCTGGAAGAAGCTGACAGTACCATGAGCAAGAAACGGCAAGGGCAATTCCCTGAAGTTAAGAAGCCATCAAAAAAGAAAACAAAAATACAGAACAGTGACAGCCTAAGCAAAGTTGAATCAAACCCAGCTAATGTCATCCTTGCAAAACAAATTCAGAACTGCACCTCTAACTCCAAGAAGCAAGCTAATCAGCACTCTTCAGGTCAAAAGCTTAAAGCTGGAACCACGAGTTCTAGGCACATAAAAAGCCTGTGTGGTGATGACATAGATTCAGAAGAAGAAATCAGAGCAATTGAAGCAAGTGAGAGAAAAAAGCACAAAGATAATTGTACTACTGCGCCTGAGGATAATATGGAAGTTGTCGGTGATGACTTTAAGCTGAAATACAGTACTCATTGGTCTCTACAGAAAGCAAACAAGCATATAGCCCAAGCATGCAATGGACTACTAAGGCCTGCAGAAAATGAATCTGATTATGATTCAGCTGACACTGATGAAATTATAGCTGTGACTAAATTATCTGATGACAAAGAGAGAAATGAATCTCTACAGGGCTCTAAGGAAACAGAAGAGCAGAATGATGGCCAGCCAAAAAGAACCATCCATGCTGAAAGATCTCCATCTTCTGGTTCAAAAGGGTCCAAAGCAGCAGAAGAAAAAAGAGCAGAATCTGAAAAACCATCAGATGCACAAGCTACTCTGGACAGATGCAGATCTGAGAGTGAGGAAAACTCAGATTCGTGTTCAGATACAAGTGAGTCTGAGGGGGATGAGGATTATGAATCCATGATTCAAAGTGGCTTCCGATTAGATCTTACCTTAGAAGACTTAGAGAAATTAGCTGGTGAAAGTAGTGAAGATTCAGAGGAAGATAACAAAATATTTCAAAGTACCAATCAATCACAAACTAATTACTGCCCAGGTAGTAAAACTGGTACTGCCCCAGAGACACCCACAATTTCCACCACTTCCAAAAAATGTATTTGCCCTGAAGAAATACTTGCTGCCATTTTAAAAGAAGAGAGATCTGACAAAGATGATTTGAAACAAAAACAGGCAAAAGTGAATATTCAACCTTTCAAAGGATTGGGGTCACTTATCGGAGTACCGCCTGAGAGCGAGTTGGATGTCAATGTGCGTGAAAAGAAACAGTCTTCTTTTGAACTTGAAGTGGAGTCTCTGAAAAGTGTTATAGAAGTAGAATATTCCAGTTTGACAAGTAAGAAACTTAACTCCAAACCACTGTCTTTGAAAGACTTGGACTTGGACATTCCCATAGTAGGAGGTCTTTCTGGAAACTCAAGTGAGCCTTCTGACCACCTCCCTGACAGTATTGGAAAAGCAGAGAAAATAAGCCATGATGTAAGTATTATGCCTGAAAGTGAACCCACCAAACGTGGGAAGTCTGTTTCCAAGGGACCAACAACTTCCAGTCTTATACAGAATAAAGATTTAAATGGCTCTCTGAAAAATGAAGGCGGCTACCCAGCTTCTCCCAGAAAAACAAAGAAATCAGATAACGTGGGAATGCAACTGGAGGACAACGAGAAAAGATTGGCTGCCATACAAGAAAGGCAGAAAGAATGGGAGCTCCAGAAAATAATTATACAGGGAGCTCTGACCAGCCAGGTAATTTTGTTTCATTTGCCTATTTATTTCATTTCTCTTATTTATTTCAGTCGATTAGTGCTGGAAGGAATTGTACAGTGCTTATATAAGTTGGAACTTAAACAAAGAGCAATAGAGCAATATTTTATTTGTTTGTTTATGTTTATGTGGAAAAATTCTTGTAGTTCATCATAATCTGAATTTTAAAGTAAACAGGGCTATAAGTAAAATATATAAATATCATTTCAATAATGCTACATTCCTAATGTACTGAAACTTAAGCACATTTGCTAGA